TTACTAAAAAAAGTTTTAAGGTGACCGGAAAAAAAAAATAAACACAATTTTAGGTGATAAAAGGAGTATCAACTAAAAAAAAACATGATTAATCTTAAAATAAAACTAATTACTTTTTAATTTTAATTTAAAAATTTGTTTATAACTCACATTTGGTTTATAAACTTTACACAATTTTCTCTCATAATTTAAAAACTGTATGAAATTCCCTCATATTTTTAAAATTGTTGCACAAAATCCCCTTTTAGATGTTTTTGTGCAATATTTTCGAAAACATGAAGGACTCTCATGTAATTTTTAGAAAAATTATGTACAATATTCTTTTAAAATTCGAGGGAGTTTTATATAGTTTATTATTAACTATAAGTGAATAAAAGAATTACTTACAAGATCAACTAATAAAAAAATTATCTCCCTAACAAATAATAATACTAAAATATATCAAAAACAAAACTATATCCAATTATTTATATGTTTAGAAAGTAAAAATAAAATCATTCATCTTCTCCAAAATGATAAAATATAACAATTCTTGGAGAAAAAAAATCAAATAAGAATGATTAAAAAAAAGATTTTAATAATTTATGAATTAATCATAATTAATATTAAATATAAAAATAAATTATTTTTTAAGACTATTTTACCAGTTGACTCTTTAAACGGAATACATTGGCCAATCGCCAGAATGCTGATAGTAATAAATATATATATGCTTTCACTACTTGCTTCAATCATGTGAATTATGAAACTTATTTTAAGTCATATAAATAAAAGTTTTGTAAAGAAATTAGTAATCTTTAACTTAATAGGGAGATGGATTTTGATTGAGGTTTGAGTTGAAACAAATCTACAAAACAACAATTTTTGAGTGTCGAAAGAAACACTATGCCTCTATATTGCTTTCTCTTCATCAACTTCATAGATAATTGTGCTTGATATTGCTTTCTCTTCTTATTGAGGAGCAAAGATTAAGCTCGTGAAGTATTTAGGAACTTCAAGAATAGGGCCGAGAATCAACTTGGCATTCGAATATTACAACATGAAAAAGTCGAATACTGAAGGGCTTATGAATGTTTTATTAATGAGTTCTGGATTATCTCAAAATATGTGAGAGAAAGCCTTCTTGACAGAAAATTATTCCCATAAAAATAAGAACGTGACGCCTTATTTCTTATAGAAAAGCCCTAAGTTCTCTACAAAATGTCTCAGAATATGGGAGAAGTCATGTTGACAACAAGTTATAACTTTCCAAAAATGTAAGGATGTAATTCTTACGAGTCGTGTAAAGGCCACGAGCCTTTCAATAAATGTCTTAGAGCACGTGAGGGGGAGTTGCATCAACGGTGAGTTAAATTGTTAATAAAATCCCCCTAAAAAGTAAAGATTTAAATCCTTTCAAGTTTTGAAAAGGGTATGAGCTTTTCCAACTAATACCCCTGTTGGACCCCAAGTCCAAAATGATTTACAACTGAAGGTAACGACTTCCATCAGGTTGCGGAGCTTCCATGGAGCAAGAAGATATAACTTCCACAGACCTTTGGACGACAAGCTCCATCAACCCTGAATTGACAACCTCATAATATTAATGGAAGACCATGACACCTACATGTCCTATATGGAAGGTTCCATGGGTCAAAACGAAAGAAAGAAGAGTGAGGATTCCATGTAACTCGAGGCTGTTGGGGACATATCCCCATAGATCGGCTAGGAGTATGATGGAAACAAATCAGGGTAAGTTGCAAGTCTGATCGAGAGGAAATGAAAGAAGTTTAGAGCGAATGGAACCCGGTCCAGGAATGACGGAAGACGCTTAAGACGAATGAAACTTGGTCCAGAGGCAATGAAAGCGGGTGAGAGCTGATGGAAGGAGGTTACCTGGCGGTTAAGAGAGGTGGAGAGAGGTGGAGGAATAATTGTAACCGCCCCTGTTAGTGGGAGAGGTGGTTATTCTAACTTAGGAATTAGGAAAATGAAACACAACACACACGCACAACCAGATCAAATCATCTATTTTCCTACGTTTCTTTCATGTTTTATTTTCATTTTTATGCAATTTAATTCTTATATGCTTTCTGTAATTTATTTACTGGCTTTTCATAGTTAATCGTAGTTTAGTTCGATCAATCTCGTGAAATCTTCATAACCCAACAACGGATTGGCTCTCTGGAGTACTTCCGGAACCCACACCGACGAAATCGATGAGCTATTTTAGAACTCAAAATTGCAGGATCCAACAATTGGCACGCCCAGTAGGACTAAGTCGGGTTCGTGTTCGTGTATGCAACCTCGTAGTGGTAAAGTGATCACCATGGAAAATCATAATCAGAGCTCAGGTCTGAATATCGGTGCAGGAATTACTAGAACTGGAACGCCGGTTCATCCCAGTGGAAGCATCACCCCAGGGTTGAGGAAAGAAGAAGAATCATCATCGACCGAAACGATGGTGACCATGGTACGCAAAGAAGTGAATCAATGTATCAGGCTGGAATCGGGGATATCGCGTACGAAATCTCTAGGCAATTGGCTGATGTGATCCGGCCAATTGTGAGGAATGAAGCGTTTCAGATTTGCAAAGAGGAACGTCAAGCAGTTGCTAGCGGAGTCCAGAATTTTGGAATTTCAGGAAATACATATGGAGGTCCGAGAGGAATAGCTCCATATGGTGGAGGGATTCCATCCCTCGCAGGGAATGTCGGTTCTAGCTTAGGTCGTGTAAACGCTGGATCGCCTAGGGGGCCGACGAGTGGAGCAGGATTGCAGTTCGGCAATGTAACGATTTTCCTACACCCGCAAGGAGGGCAAACCAGCGGAGGCTTTGGCCCTCAGACAGTAGGAGGACAGGAGGTCGCGGGAAGTAGTGTTTACGGAGCCCATCTAGGGACAACATTTCCGGGGTAGTTCGCAGGTCAGTCTAGTTGGAACACACCTCCACAACCATGGGTTCAGTAGGCTCCATATGCCGCTGTCCCTCAGGGAGGAATGGCTGGTGAAGTTTGGGGACCAGTAGGGCAGCCGTTGATTCCTAATCAGCAGGATGCCCGACCATTGATAGATACAGATATTATAGAAGAAAGTATCCGAAGGGTTTTCCTACGAATGAATTTTGAAGAGCGACCGGTGTATCAAAGACCCTATCCAACTTGGGTAAGTGAGATGATGCCATTGCCTATTCGAAATAAAGCGCCGGATTTTACACTGTTCTCAGGTGAAGATGGGAGATCAATGATAGAACATATTGGAAAATTTACAACTCAGAGCGGAGACTTGGGAGGAAATGACTGGTATCGTTTGCAGTTATTTTCTTTATCTCTAATGGGTACTGCTTTTTTGTGGTATACGTCATTGGCTCCAGGTACCGTGCAGTCTTGGTCAGATTTGGAGAGGCTTTTTTATGACCGTTTTTATGCGCCGCCAATGGAGACTACAATATCCCACCCAGTAGCTGTAAAACAGGGGTATGACGAGCCTGTGACACAATTCTTGGAGAGATGTCGACAAGCTAAGACACGGTGCACAGTGCAAATTCCTGAACGGCAAGCAACTGCGATGGCAGTAGATAACATGCGATCAAATCTTCGAGATCGGTTAGGAGTTCAGGATTTCCAGGATTTTTCGCATTTAAGTGCACTAGCAATGAGAGCAGAAAAGCTCATCCGAGAGAGACGGTATGCTACAGTCGGAAGGTGGAAGAAAGATGGAAAAGCTGGGGTAACTTGTTGTGCGGATGACAAAATCTCAGCCGATGAGGATTGTTGTGAGGGACAAGATGTGTTAGCGGCTGAGTTGCTGAAAGGAAAAACTTATTCTTGTTCAGCATTAAAGCCTACAAGGGGTAAGGAGATCGGAGGTATGTAGTATACCTTCGATGTGTCTAAAGTCGAACAGATTTTTGATCATTTGTTGAAGGAAAAACAAATCTAACTCCGGGACGGGCAGCGAGTGCCGTCACCAGAGGAACTGAAAGGGAAAGTGTACTGCAAGTGTCATGGGAGTTATAGACATGCTACCGCCAATTATACGTACCTACGAAATACAATCCAGAAGGCCTTAGATGAGGGCAGACTGAAGTTAGCAGAAAAGAGTATGCAAGTGGATGCAAATCCGTTTCCTGCTCCGTCTATTAACACTAAGTCCACAAGAGGTCCTAAGAGACAGAACAAAGGAAATCAACCGGTTCGGCAGCCGGTTCATGAGCGAATCGGGCCTAGAATACCACAATGAGGTTCAGTCTTCGACAGGTTGTCTATAGGAAAGATGCCTAATGGAAATATTGGAAGTAAGAAACTCAGAGTCGTAGAGAGGAGCCCTAATCTGAAAACGATGATTCCAAATGCCCGGGAAATTCGGGAGCGCAATAACATGATGACTAAAGCCACAGCTCCAGCCTCAAACATCAAGCCGGATGCCACTGTGGCTGAGGTGAAAGTCGCTAGTGGAAAACGAGTTTGGACCATTACATCAGCTGATCAGATTACCATTACTCCAAAGACGATGCGGAAGCCTCCATCAACAGTAAAATCGGAGAAATGGACAATTAATGTGTCGGAGGCAAATGCCAGGAGGGCAATGGGTGACCTCACGCGCTCCCAGAAAAGAAGGGCACAAAGGAAGTGATTACAGGCTAAGCTGGAAGCTGAAGGTATTCAGCTAGATCAGAAAAGTGCGGGGGCAAAGGGTAAGAACGTTGAATCAGAGGTCCAGCAAGTGACGAATCGGAACGAGAAAGCCTCGAAATTTTGCAAACAGAACAAAAGGCCTCGGAAAAATCAAGGGTCGCAACCATGCCTGATTATTTCTACGCCAAACGCCGGACCCGTTCCAAATTGGGAACACCGATGGGGCCGAAAACTACACAACCGAAGGAGTGTGATGCTAAAGGTGGCCAATTATCGGTTGTGGGGTTGCTGCCGTCTGAGTTTAAGGCTCCAGAGAGGGAGCAAAATTATGAGGGAGTGACCGTAGATGAAGAGCCAGCTAGATAATGGAACGATGTAGTGACAATGGTCACATTTGATCGAGTTGGATCCGGGAAGAATAAACATGTGAAGCCCTTGTATATTCGAGCTTTAATGGAAGGTCCATATCAAGTGAGTAAAGTGTTGCCTAACGGTGCTTATAGATTAATGAGTATTGATGTGATAGAATATAGAAATGTTATCAATGCTAAACACCTTAAGGGATACATGTTGCCACTTGAGTTCAGATAAAGAAATGCAAGGGACATATGAAAACAGGCCCTATTTAGGCCGCTAGATACAAAGCAAAACGAAAGCAGGCTATTAAGCCGCTAATGTGCAAAATGAAAGTAGGCCATTAAGCCGCTAATGTGCAAAATGAAAGCAGACCATTAAGCCACAAACTTACAAAATGAAAGCAGGCTATTAAGCCGCTAATGTGCAAACTAAAAAAAAATGAAAATAAGTTATCTTAAGTAGCTAAATAAGTAGCATATCATAAAATCTAGATGAAATTTCGAATAGCTTGAAGAAAGGCGAATGCTTCCCAAAGTCAACGTGTGGCGGGAGAAGTATCCGTTGCAGCTGGGTCCACATTTAGCTCGGAGTTATTAGGATCAGGCCCTGTTTCCATGGGAACTGGATCTGCTAGAACTGGGATCAGATCTTCCAGAGACGGAGTTGTTCCATCGGGGCCTGGCGCTGCTTCCATGGGAACTGAATCCGTTGAAGTTGGAATCGGATCTTCCAGAGACAGAGCCGTTCCATCGAGGCCTAGTGCTGCTCCCATAGGAACTGGATCCGTTGGAGTTGAAATCAGACTTGTCAGAACTAGAGCTGTTCCATCAGGTCCTGGAGTTGCTTCCACGGGGACTAGATCTATCGGAGGTGGAATCGGATTTTCCAGAGCTGGAGTTGTTCCATCAGGAACGGGCGCCGCTTCCACTGGAGTTCAAATTTCTTGAATCGGGACTGCTCCATCAACGATTGGAACCACACTTGCAGAAATGAGGTCATCCGAGGACAAGGCCGTTCCACTGGAGCTCAAAGCTACACTTGCTAGAGCCAAGCCCTCTGGGATCAATGTTGCCTCTTCAGAGATGGGAACGGTTGAAGTCGAAGGTGAGTCGGAGACGCTATGGTCTGCTGCCACTTCTAAGGCCGATATCAAATCCCTCACAACAAGAGCAATAGATGCTTGGACGTTGGCAACAGTCTGTAGCGAAGGTTCAGATTTGGAAACCATGGGGGTGTCTGTCACAGGAACAGAAGGTCGTGCATCCTCTGCATATTCATCGTCAGGGTATGGGGATGATGAAGAGATTACCTGTGCTGAAGGTTTGCAAAAATGCCCACAAAGAGGCCCTTCAAAGTCGCCTCCATGTTGGCGGCATTGAACTCATACAGAACTTTCTTTTGCGACAAAGCGGCTATGGGGGGCATCTAGGCGCTGGGACCTCCGATATAAATTAGCCTGCATTCGGCGCTTCTCCGCCAATAGCCGTTCCAATTATGCAATTTTAGGACCTAATTGGGCGAGCCGAGCTTGGAGACGAGCCACTTCAGCTTGCTTTGTTAATTGCTCGGCGCGAGAAGCTTCAAGCTGATTTGAAGCACTGGAAGCTTCATCCTCAGTGTGCAAAAATTCATCTTGCAAAGACTTCTTCTGGTTCCTTAATGTTCCTAACTGATCCAAGTGCGTCCTCCCGAAGTCCCGGTTCTCCTCTGCCATCCTACGGCGCTGAGCGAAGGTGTTCACTTTGGAAGATAAGCCAACCCATTGCGCGCGAATGGACTTGGGAAGGTTTGCATAGGAAGGGGATTACGCTAAATTCAGTAAAGCCAATTGGATGGAACTTAAGGATTCAGGATCTCCTCGGGATGCTTCCAAGCAGATGGTGATGAATTTTCCGTCCAGAACTTCAGGGAATTGACTCGAAAGTGCCGAGGTAGACGTTGCATCCCGATGCTCAATGAAATACTCCCGGATGCGCTCTTGACTGATATTTGAATCAGAAGTAATACGACCCACACGAGGTGTGGTAAGAGTGTGATCTGGAGGCGGAAAAGGAGTCCCCGATGTCCTCGAAGGTACATGCTAGTAAAAGATGTTAGCAAATAACATTTTAATCTGAATGTGAAGAGGAATGCAACTTGGGTGATGGAAATACCTTGGATACCGAAGCTTTGGGTGGATGAACCTTTGAAAGAAGATTCACCATAGTATAAGCCGTAGTCCTCGTCACCGGGGTTGCATCAACACCTTTGTGCACCTTCTTAGTAGGCTGGAAACAATGATACATACAAATAAGAAAATCATGAAGTGTTCGTGGAAAAGTACATGGAAATGAATATGAACCTGGGTGTTGGGAGAAATAGTTGCACGACGCTTCTCTAAAGGTTTCGGGCAGCAGCTCTGGCCTTAGCATGCCGAGTTGATCTACGTACGGGGAAGGAATCCGTCACTGCGAACATAAACAAAGTTAGTTGAGTATTTAATGAGTAAAACCCAAGAAGAAGATGAAAGTTTACCTTCGATGATCTCAGGAGCCGCACTTTCAACCTCCTCAGCGGTAATATCAGTTGTTTTACTTTGGTGGTCAGAGTCGGTATCAATAAAACGGCGTAGCCATGAAGCCGGAGGCTCAGCAAAGAGGATATCCTTTAAGGAATCCCACCAGCCTACAAATGCCAAATCGGTGGAGGGCAAGGTTTCGAAGACAGGAATGGTTGAATCCTCAATGGCTCAATTCAGACCCCGAAACATGTCAAGAGCTTCGGAGGATAGGTCCTTCGTTGCAGGAGGAAAGGGCCCTCAAGAATGGAAGCGGTAAATCGGGATCATTTGTTGGAGTCCAAACTGGCGTGCATACAACTATGGGAAGTATCCCTCCACCCGGGTAAAGAACGAGACGTAGGCTTTAAACCCAACAATAAGGGCCTCGCGGTTAAAACTTGATTCCATGATGAAGTGATGGAAGACCAATCAAGGGAACCATCCTCCTTCACCGGCTGGGGCTTAGAAAACCAATCAGGTCCATGAGATCGCTCCAGTAAAGGGAAAAATTACGTGTCCTCACGGTTACTCGATGACAAGAAAAATTTAGCGATTTGGAAAGCGTTGCGGGAACATTCAAACCCGGCTAAAAACACACCGATTCGTTCTTCATTCGGAATTTGGAATGGCCACGGTATGTCAAACAACTCAGGAAACATATAAGCAACCCAGAGTTGAAGAAACCACAAAGGTCCCCTCTCAGTGGATACATGCTCCTCACGACATAGGCGGGTATGAAGATCGTTAAGGGTTCTATACAAATGTCCTAAGAAGAATTGAGCAAGCGCCAAGTTGTCACTCTCCATTATCGACGATACTAAGGGCTCGTATTCCCTAACTAAATTTCTACCAGCTGCGCCTATGAAGAAACGATTCACCCAGAGCATTAAAAAGGTCCTATGGTTATCTAGCAAATTGGTTTTTGAGTTTGGCGTACCATACTTTTCGTAAAACAGGGCACTCGAACTAGACTTTGAATAGTCTATAGCATAATCGTCCCCTGTTACGGGGAGACCCAACAACACCGCAATATCAAGTAACGTAGGTGAAATCATCCCGAAAGGAAAGCAAAATCCATTCACCGCCGGACACCAAAACCCTAGGAGTACGAAAAGGAGATCAGAGTTGGAATGAGAAACTTGTGTGCTGATGATAATCATGTCGTCAATCCCCCAAGCTTCCCATTGGGTGTCGACTGAGCCGCCGAGGTTCGCCGTCCATTCCTTGAAGGTTGTACTGTCGGGATATCGGGTTAAAACCCTACCTTGTCGAAGAGCCAACGAATAAAAGGGTTTCGCGATCAACATGGGAGATACCCCGTCGCCGGCGAGGATTTGCTGAAGTTCCTCTCTTTGGAAATCCATCTCGGCCGATGGTGTTAACATCCACAAACTCCAACCGGCATCGAGTAGCGGATCGGACGTGGGATTGCCGTTAGTGGCAAAGGCTCGTCTACACTACCAGAATGAGGAACTGTCGAAGAAGCCATACGGATTGGTACCTACGCTCACCAACCAAAACCGAACCTTCGGAGGAAAGTGAGAGAGAAAACGAGGGGAGGGAGGGTGGAAAATGGAAATGGTGATAAACCCCTAGAAAAACCCATAAATATCTTTTCTTTCAGGCGATGCGGCAATCAAAGAGAGTAGCTGTCACATCAAGGTTGGAAGGTTTTATGTGATACATCAAGATGTGGTAAATCTTATACTAGGGTCCACGGGGGTGAGTTCCATACAAAGGAAATCCCAAAAAAGAGTAAAGCTTTACACGGCTTGCATTTTATCCCTTTTTTGAGGAGGGCAATTGTCGGACCCCAAGTCCAAAATATTTTGCAGCTGCAGTTAGCGACTTCCATCAGGCTGCGGAGCTTCCATAGAGCAAGAAGATATAACTTCTACAGACCTTTGGATGACAAGCTCCATCAACCCTGAATTGGCAACCTCATAATATTAATGAAAGACCACGACACCTACATGTCCTATATGGAAGGTTCCATGGGTCAAAACGAAAGAAAGAAGAGTGAGGATTCCATGTAACTCGAGGCTGTTGGGGACATATCCCCGTAGACCGGCTAGGAGTATGGTGGAAACAAATAAGGGTAAGCTGCAGGTCTGATCCAGAGGCAATGGAAGAAGTTCAGAGCGAATGGAACCTGGTCCAGGAATGACGGAAGACGCTCAAGACGAATGGAACTCGGTCCAGAGGCATTGAAAGTGGCTAAGAGCTGGTGGAAGGAGGTTACCTGGCGGTTAAGAGAGGTGGAGGAATAATTTTAACCGCCCCTGTTAGTAGGAGAGGTGATTATTCTAGCTTAGGATTACAATTAGGAAAAAGAAACACAACACACGCACAACAAGATCAAATCGTCTATTTTCCTACTTTTCTTTCATGTTTTATTTTCATTTTTATGTAATATAATTCTAGTTACATGCTTTCTGCAATTTACTTACTCGTTTTTCATAGTTAATCGTAGTTTAGTTCAATCAATCTCGTGAAATCTTCATAACCGGACGACGGATTGTCTCTCTGGAGTACTTCCGGAACTTACACTGATGAAATCGACGAGCTATTTTGGAACTCCGAATTGCAGGATCCAACAACCCCCAAATTATTGAGGGTGTTGCGCTAAGACGACAAATAAAGTCGTAATCGGTCCAAAGATGGTTTACTGTGTATTCATAAGCTACGCTCTAAATAGTTGCGAATATTGTTTTCTCATTCATAAGTCAAGAATCTCTAACCTAAGAGAAGATATGATGATGGAATCAATAAAAATTATTTTCTTTGAAGATGTATCCCCTTATAAAAATAAGGACGACATTCCTGAATTACATTACATTACCTACATGTTCCGGATTAATTTCAAAAAATTATTTCATCTAAAATCCTGGGTGAACGAAGCCAATGTAAACAAATCTTTTTGTGTTTAGACAATAAAAATATGACAAAATATATTCTTACTTGGTGAACGGAAAGAGTATTATTTAATTGAAGCAATACATGATCATGTATGTTCTGAATTAATTTCCATTACGCTACATTACCATATTCTATCATAAATTAAAAGGTTGGACAAATTAGTTTTTAACTCCGTCTGAGTCATACGTATTCATTTATTTTTTACACGTAGATTTTAGTATATTAGTATTTTATAGATAATAGTATAATAGAAAGATAAAAAAGAGAAATTTCTTTAAAACCTATTTACGTTTTAATGATATTGTTTATAATATTATGTCAAATATAGGATTTTTATTTTATTAAAGTAAAAAAATATTTTTACTAAAAAAGAAAGCAAATATATTTGAGTTGGACAGATGAAATGACAAAATATATATTTTTATAGAATGTTATGTGATAGGATTAAATATATATATTTTTATAGAATATTATGTGATAAAAATGGTT